CGAGTTATTTTGGTCACCATTCTCAGTCGGTTCTTCGGTTTGTCTGTTATTATTATTATTATTGTTATTGCGGTTATTATTACCATTATTATTGCCATAACCGTAACCACCGTGATTGTAACCATAACCACCGGGTCCGTAGAAATCAGGTCCGCCGTAAGGCCCGTAACCATGATGTCCATGGTGTCTGTTTCTAGAAGAATCATTTCCGTTTCTCTGATAGGGTCCATAAAAATCGTGATGACCGTATCCGTCATATGGAAATGGAGAGTAGGGATGATGATGATCGAAACCTCCGTAGGGCGAACCGTAACCTCCATAACTGGTCCTGTTCTCGAGTCGCGCGTTTTCCTCCGTGCCCGCCTCTTCTGAAGATCCATCTCCATATGGATGATGATGATGATGGTGGTGGTGGTGTCCGTATGGTCCAAAACCTCCGTAGAAGCCTCCGTAGGGTTTATCCAAAAAAGGTCCGTGAGGGAAGGCTGCCTTGGGAAAACCACCGCCGTGATAAGAAGGATATAAATTGGTGGACGATTCCTGAATACTACCGATTGATGAATCAATATTGTCGCTAGATTTCGAAGTTGCAGCAAGATTGTCGTTGTTCGTAGAAAAATCATAAGGTCTGTAGACGTTCGACTGTTTTTGGCGTAGATAGGAACCGTCTCGTAGAGATCCATCAAATCGTTCATTCGTTTCAGATCTCTCGAGTTCTTCCGGAGAATCCTCGTACAGCCCATTGTAAGGATGAGAGCGTGGTCCGTAATACGTGGCCGCGTTTGATGTCTTATCGACTATGTTATCCAAGATTGAATGTGAATTCAAATCGTTGTCATTCAAGTTGGCGAATTCCGACAGAGTGGATTGGAAAGACGATCGATTATTGCGGGATTGCACGTCGCGTAAGATGACCGGCGATAATACTGAAGCTACATTTTTAGCGAAGTTTGCTAGGATATCTGGACCTGTGTGTTAAAGAGAATAATAATTAAAATAAAGAAAGTTCTACATTTAAAAAAAACGCGTTGAAATATTAATTTCTTTTCTTTGTTAAATAATCTTTTATTAATGATCTTTACATACAACTTAATAAAAAACTTTTTATATAAACTACAACTTCTTTATTAATAAGTAATAATTTTCAGAAATACGATTTTTACATATCTTTTTGTCTGAATTTTGATCTGTTTAATAATGATTGTTAGAATATGTATATTATTTTGCAAATTCGACATTTTTAATTGTCCAAAAATAGTTTAAATAAATTGTTGGATTATTTGCATACAAATTTCGAGTTATTTATTACACGTTACATATTACAAAGAATTCAACATTTCTTATGAATGCGATAAGCTGTTTATAATTAATAAATTTCGAGAAGAAACATTTCATGCTTACTGACTGCAGTTCTTGCTGCTTTTCCATCATTTATTATGCACCAAAGTGCAATGTAGTATAGCAATATCTGTAAAAAGAAAATTTGATATTAGATTAAATGCATAGACATTCTTATACGGAATATAATAATAATAAATTAATAAATTTAAATATTTAATATTTATTTAACAGTTTATTAAACGTTATTATTTAACTGTTTAAAGAATTTTTATTTTATCTACAATGAAATGAATTTGTTGAAATTCATTATATTTTCAATTTCAATTATTTTATAAATAGCTTTTATCTACAATGGTAAGAAATACATTGACGTTTATAATGAAGAAGAATTTAATGATAAATGATTACTCCTTGATTATTTTTCAAAATGTTTAAAATAAAAGTGAGAACAATAATTATATTTTAGAAATTACGAAAATTTACTTGAACGTAATTAACATAATTAAACTATCCGCGGTGGGTTATATTCGAACAAGAGATAATTTAAGTGATAGCGTTCAGTATCCGGAACTTCTCGCAGAAAAGCTACGAACTGCGTAACGCACGACGATACGAGTATAGCGTGACTGGCTCGATACTCTCCATAGAATTACGTTTTATTTGCTATTGTGTAAGGAGAGACGCATGTGCATGTAAATCCGACGCATCGTTCCAGCAGTAGGTTTTGCAAAATCTTGGCTAAAAGAAGCTCCGACGTACATATGCACGCATAAATATCAATCCTGGATGTGGTTATTACATCGTCTCGTCGTGCGGAACTTGATTCTTATAATAACAGAATCGAACCAGTGTGCGGTCATGCCGATTGCATTTTTGCGAGATACACGTATTGCTGAAACGCTGTCCAAGTATATGAAACTTTCGGTAAAGTAATTTTCCGGCCAGCAGCGCAATAACCTTGCAAAATAAATAAAAATTCTTGGCAATAGTTTCTGAGAAAGTAATTAATAAATATTAATTTCATATTATCTTCAGAAAAGTCTCTCGAAAAGAGAGAGTAATGGAATCACTAACGGAAATTTTCTTGTGATTTATGTAAGACTCGTATGAAAGCATTGTTACGTTTGCATGAATGTTTCACCGGCTATTACTTCTTACCCATTATTTTATAAACTACATAGTTATGAAGAAATAATTTGAAGACATATTTTTTAATGTATTGATGTGAGTAACACGACTTCCTGTATACTGTAACATCAATATAAAAATGGAAAGTTTACATCATTTCAATATAGGTATCGACTGGTAGAATAACTTAATTTCCGCTGTATATTGCGATAGAATATAAAAATGGGAAGTTTACGTCATACTGCTCTCTTTATACTAAAAATATATTATATTTTATTTTACTATTAGTTTTTTATTTACTTCTTGGGAACATAAATTATCAAAAAGCTTTGGATATGTATAATAATTTATTTTAAAAAAATGCGCAGATGTTTCTATAATAATCGTACATATATAAGATATTCAAAAAATAAAATGTCAAAAACTTTGCTGCACAAGAAGTAATGATGTTTCGTCTATTCAGAGCGTGTTAAAAAGAGATTGAATCTCCATTCATGTGTATATTCATTCACGAGATTGATTTTCGCGAATCACGTGCTCTACATGTGTTCGTCTGCGTTTCTTCTAACAGCATTAGTGAATCATCGCTATTGAGATCTGGAAAAGACTGACATCTCTAATATTCCGCGTGAAATTGCACATTTCGATAATGTATAATACATACGTTACAGATGATTATTAAATTTTTGTATGATGTATTTGTTCCTTGAATTAAAACGAAAATGCTTTTTTAAATTGCGAACATGATCTACTGCATGGTGTAAATATCCAAAATGTACTTAAGTCAAATTTGTTATGGTGACAATTTAAGCATTCATAATTAAAATATAAGTACGTAAAAGTTAAACAAAAATAAGTAAGTAAAAGAATAATATGATGCCGATTCAAATCGTCGCGTCAAGATGGTACGATATCTAGTATTAATTTCTCATTAACTAATTACAAATGTGCATGCATAAGATAATTTCATAAAATTGCAATTTTTCAGACAGTCGACGTACGTTTTTTAAATTCCTACTTATTTCACATTTTTTATCTAAATGTACGATTATTTGTACCTATGTACACATATTTGACACATGTATCATGTAAAGCTTTATCTATTTTACATACATATGATAAATATATAATAAATAACCACTAATAAAGTGTAAGAATTAAATAGATTGTACTTTTCTATTACTTTTTTTTTTAAATTAATAAATGTAGGCCTTAATAATTATTTAAATAAACGTCAATCAGAATAAACGTAATCAGAATACTTTTATTACGCTATCGCAAATTTATAACAAGATTCGGTTAGGTACAAATTCCTGTGTAATATTTACGTTATGCGTTATAATGAAGAGACAAATATATATTGAGAAAATAAAATATCTATGATATTTCCTATTAATGAATTCACACAAATAATTCACTTGATTATTATAGCACGTTAAGAACTGCAATAAATTATTCCTGCGTATTCAATTATTAAAGAAAATGCAAACGGCAGATATTTTGATAGATACTCGTATTTTGCAGTTGACACTTCACACAAATCTATTCGACAAATTTTTATCAATATAATGATTTATTGCGTTAACCACGTTATGAAATTGCAATTTGGTTGCTTTTCGCTGTATGATCAATGGCTTTTATGCAAGGATACTCACGTGTGACGCGTAATGCATCGTGTGTGCGGTTCTTGACGACTAAGGGACAGACATCATGCCCGATGTCATTTATACTTTCTCTCCTTAAACGCCTTTTACCCTCGTTGCTGATCGTAAAGGGTGGATCGTAAAATTACGAAGTCTTTTATATGTTTCGATTATGAAAACTAAAAGCTTTGTCGAATTTACAAGTAAAAAAATTATATGTAATGCTAATTTCTGTTGCAGATTTTGGCATTTACAAAATATTCATTAATTAGATTTTATATTTGATACATAAGCAAATATTCAGGGTTTTTTTTTTCTGAAGAATGGATTTATCAATTCTATTATCATATAAATAGCAACTTTTTACGCTTTTTGATGTTTAGACTTTTAGAGCTTATTTTGTTAGAAAAAATTGTCTTCTTTTCTGATTTTAAATGAAAAAATATGAAGTTTTTAAAATTATAACCTTTAACTTTTTTAAGAAAAAAATATAAACAAAATACAATTATGAATAACGAAAAATATAATTGTGAATAAAACTCTATTAAATTCTCGTCCACTTCCTATTACAATTATAAAAGAATAATAATATTAGACATTTTTATCAATTAATTATATGGCAATAATTGAAATGGCATATAAATATAAAATAATGCGTAAATGGAAAATTGTGCCGCAAAGTTTCTATCTTTAACTAAATATATGAGAATAACTTTTTAATTAATGTATATTATTATTCATAATTATGAATAATTTACGCGATGATCGTGCAACTTTAATTTCAAATTAACTCGGTGAAAATCACAAACTAATAGTGCATAAATCTATCATTTCTACTTTGTATCATAATGGATATCATGCTGCAGAATGCAACTTTGCGATGTGGGTGGCTTAATGTGCGTTCTTCGTTGAGAGTTTCAGTATGAAAAGAGAGAAGCTCGAGTGACTGATGTAACATATGATGATTGATGAAGAGATAGTTCTAACAGTCCGGTAAACTAATAGCCGATCTGGCTGATCCTGCCGACGATACCGGGGGCGATGACACCGGGAAGATTGTAAATTTGCACAGGTTGAGGTGAAATTCCCATTAGCCGGGTTGCTCGAAAATTCGGCGTGATAATTACGGGCCGTTGAGTGTTGCTCGGAATGTCAAATTGTCTGGCTTGAGCATTAACCTGTCCATATCCTGGATACTTGGTGAGCATACCACTCACGCTTCCGTAAGGAATCCCACCTGTTGAATGAAGCAATCGATATATTAGTTAAGTCTGTACAACATTTGCAATTAGCCCTATTAAATCTTAGTACATATTTTTAATATGTACTAAATAAACATTTATTTATAATAAATAAATACTTGCAATAAAAATGACAGTTAAATCAAATTAATGGTTTCTATATTAAATAAAAAAATGTTTACAACTAGTAAATATTTATTTAAAACTATTTGAACAAATATTTATTAAAATTTAGTATTTTTTCAAAGTAACTACAATGCTATTTTACCGGGAATAAAAGGAAAGAATAGATTAACTTAATGATCATTAATCACCAGTGCTGCTTTCTGTTGGAAACTAATCCAAATTGTAATTAAAAACAGAAAAAAAAATATTTTCAACATAACTAATATAAATATGAAGTCTGTAACAGTCTAGCTAGAATTTAGTTGCTTATATATGTATAATTTCGCGTAAATTTATATATTGATATATATATGTATAATCTTTTCTAAACTGCGAGAAAAAAAAATTTTCTTTATAGTTATTTCTATGTTATACAGTTTATCAGGTAAAACAGTTATAGTCTGTCATAAAAAATATTAAAATACTGCTGCAAACATTCTTGATATAAATTATTCGTCGTTTTGAAAGAAACGTTATCAATTTAAAAATAATTTTAATAAATAAAATAATATAACTAGGGATTATTTTTTTTACAAAAATATAAGATTATAATTACATAAACTCACAAATATTTATTTGTATATCTTTTGAATTGATTGAAAACTTAAGAAACAGGAGTCTAACTTACCATACGCCAATCCATTCACCATTTCCACTATCCCTGCGCTGTCTGGTGCTGCTGTCGATAAATTTAAAAAAGCTACTAGTCCAAATACCAGGATGATCTGAAAATCACATACGGAGAAGTCACAATTGGAAGACTTGAGAATGCATATGTTTGAAAATATTTTTAACTCTACACACATACGCCAAAAGAAAAATGGTACAATATACATAATCGTATTCTATTTTATATAATAACATTTCTTTTACTGTGACAAAAGATCTATTATACGGAATTTTCTATAATTTTGAGATTTCTATAATTATGAGAAAAATCTATTATTAAATGGCATTAAAATTAATTATGTGCATTCAATTATTATAGCTATAAATATTATTAATAGTACGTTTATTATTTTACACTGTACATACATATTTCCTTATAGTAGATTAATGAGTTTACCATAAGTGCACATTTTTTCAGTTATGTAATAATACATCAATTTATAGAGTTTAAAAACTGTAACAGATTATTCATGAATAAACAAACAATACTTGCCATAATAGTATCGCTATCAATAATTTTATTAATTAATAAATAAAATATCGTATATAGCCTTGAAATTGATTGCATTAAAACAGACAATCACATATAGAAAGTGCGTCATATTTTGCATATCAGTTTTTCGCAGTAGATTTCTTGGTAATTTACATTTGTTGTACAAATCTGCAGTTCTTAAATATTTGTGTCAAGTATTTATACCCTCAATATTCTTAAATCAAACAATGTCTAACGGATCTTACAAATAAATTGTTTTATAATTGTCATAACATTTATTTATGTTTCTGTTAAAATGTTAGTGACGACAATTTTAATTATGCAAGGTAACCCGATCCTATATGGATAATGGATTAGGATACTGGTCAGAGCAATCTGGGGAATCAATCCACCGTCAATTTTTAAGTACTTGGGACCGGTATAAAATTAAAATGATAGAGGATGAATCTTATACAGAAAGACTCCTGAAAGCAGTGATTGAATTCTCATCACTCAATATATAACTAAAAATAATTTAGAGTTAAAAATGTTATTCTATAAAAACTTTATTCTCTTCGTTCTGACTATTAAAATACTTTGTGAAAAATTAGACTTCAAATATATAAAAAATAAAATTTAAAAAAGTAAATAAATTTAAGGCATCGAGTAATTTGAGCTAAAAAAATTTTAAATTGGTCAAGCCGTTTTGGACATACAAGCGATCGAAAAGTGATGATTTTCATGAGAAATGAAGTAACGTCTCTTTCTCCTTCTTTTGTTATTTTTAATAAAGCAAAATATAGAATGTGAACGTAATACTTCATAGGTAATGTGCTTTCTATATATAACTACTTTGTTAACGTCCGTTTCTACCAATGCAGTTTAATTTTTATCTCGATTCACTGTTTATCTTTTTCTAATTCTAAGAATAAAGACAGCAAATCCATATCGGTAGAAATAATAAATATGTTTATCAACATTGATTTATATTCACGCAAAAAAAGTCTTGTTCATATTTAAATCATCCACTTATCCTAATAATTTTATGTAATGTAAAATGTAAGCCACACATATTGTATCATATTATATTAACTTCAATGTAACTTAATATAATAATTGTAACAATTCAAGGTAACTGCAATGTAAAACATCCTATTGAACAACTATTTAATTCCGTATTTATTAAATGACACAGCCAATCTGTTTTTAAAAAATATTAAACCCTTTTAAATTGTTATAAAGCATTATTAAATTTTAAGTATAATCTTATTTTCACATAAAATTATGAGAGTATCTCACGTTCTGTATACGCAATATTGATGAAACTACCCCCGAGTTACTATAACTTATTCACTTAAACATTCACGTACCTTGACGGGCAGCATATCGCGTCGTTTCCAGAAGAGCATGACACGTATTAAACGCGTAGGCAAAACTAGAATACAAAGGCAAAGATCGAATTATATACACGTTGCGTGGCGTGGCATGCCGCGTGCGTTAACGTTGGCCAATCGTTGGCGTTTCCTTTCGATCGCGCCCGTTTTATTCCTTCGTCTATAGGATTTTATCGAACTGCGACGAGATATCCGTGGGGCTACCTTGGGGCACCTTAACCTTGGAGCACCGCAACCACCTCTCACATACAGCGCACCAACTTCTATCCTGTGCATCAAGGACCGTGTTTCTCGATGAGCACCTTCTTGTCTTTATATTCTGTTCGCGGTTTTAACGATACTGATGACGCACGTCCTTGTCAAACAGCGACAAATATCACCGATGTCCTTTTAGATTGAATTAATAAATAGGAAGAAAAGAGAGAGAGAGAGAGAGAGAGAATCTTTATCATTCAATTTATCCTAAATCATTGTACGTTTTGTCATTATTACAATTAAAAGAAATACGTATAAGTTACTGAGAAAAATGCGTTACACAAGTACCTATTAGCTTATAAGAATTGTCAAAATCTTTCGCGGATGCTTAATAACTGTAGAAGGTGACATAAATTGTTAATGTAATATAATGGTAATAAATAAGATATAACAAATAAATTGTGGATATTATTTTAAAATCATAAAAATGTATGAGAAATTAAATTAGTTACTTATTGTTAGAAGCATTATGATTTTGCCGCATTATGTGTAATTGTTTGAAGTTTCCCTCGTTAATGGATCGCTACAGGCAGATAACAGCGTTATTATTAATAGGTCGCTTATTAAGCTGCACGAAAAGATTATCGCACTCATACAACGAAAAATAGATCAAGGGTATCCGCTCTTTGAAGACAGTTTGCGATATTACGTAACAACGTTAATAATTCAGCAGACTCACGAATCGCAGCGATTGTTATGATGATAAATATTATCGATAAGTGTTGCAGTTACAGAAGAGAAAGCGGTAAAAAAATATTAATTTAATGAAAATTATGTTTAATCATCCAATAACTATTGTAATTATGTAAAGAAGTAATTGATAGAAAAAAAAACTTAATTAAAAACGTCTTTTTTAACAAGAGAAAACTGTTTTGTTAAATGAGTTCTTAAAGTATTATTAAAAGATTCAATAAAATATTTATAATAAATATAAAGTAAATTATTATAGTTTTCTAATTAAAATTAATATACCGTATATAGATATAAATAGTAATTAGAAATTATTACAGAAAATATTTGTTCTCTGTTTTCTTTTTTTCTATCTTATGTAAAATATTACATATTATATGTAACTAAATTACTTTAATAATATTTGACTTTGGCTACTTTCATCTTTTCATCAATTTATTTTTAATCTTTTATTTTTATTGTTTTCTTTAAAAAAAATTAATTATAATATGCAATAATTTACTCAAAACAGAAGAGAATGCAAACTTTAGAAAGAATCTTATTAAAAATATTGTAACAAATAATGTCACACCATATGTCCACATTATGTCATAGTGTAATATAATTATAAATAATATACTTTTCGTAGGAAAGATTTTAACGCTGAGATCAGCATATAGTTCAGCGAAAGCGGATAAATTATGTTATCGATTAGACTAAAAAGATAGCTATTATTGCTGGCGTATTGTGAATCTGTGAGCTGTAAGTAAGAAATTTCAACTCTCAATAAGGCTTCTTTTTGTGGTCATAAATGAGAAATATAATTTCTCCGGAGATTTGCACCATGATACAAATAACAGGTAGCTCAACCATGATACAAATAACAGTTGCGTCGATAAAAAAAATACAGTTTCGAATAGAACGTTATGCAATTATATAACTCTATAACATTTATTTAATAAAAATATTCTAAGCTATATACAACAACGTGTGTGTGTAATTAGAGGTTGGAAAAAACTATTACAACACCCTCGGTTAAATTGTCTAATCATCCTCATCTACATGCACTTTCTTTAAAACAAAAATTAATTAACTAAATAATGCTATGATGACTAATTTAAACATTAAAAATATTGTGCGTATTGAAATAAACTCAAGTATATGTTTGAAGTTATCTTTGCGTCATTTAAATAAAATACAGAAGTTACAATAATATCATAAGGACAATATTTATGACTTTATTTGTCACTTATAAGTATATTTTTAAATGACAAATAACATCACATGATGACATCGTACGAAATAATCATAACTTAATTATGACTCTATTTGTTCTATCTGAGCCATATTCACTTTTATTAATATTTCAGATGAAGACTTCAATTCATTCACTACTATCTCAGGTTAGAAACAAAAAAGCATAAAAATTCTTGCATATTATATTTGAATAGAAATACGTATTTTTATATATATATATATATATATATATAATAAAACATTATTTACAATTAATAAAACAGATTTATAAAATAAATATCAAAAACTATCTTCTTGTTTTAAGGAGAAAAATTAAATCATGATATATGATTATTCATGAATTAATGAAACAAAATAGGAAAAGATTTCGTTATATTTTACAAATCGATTCTAGCGTATGTATGTAAGTGTTATTTTATTGAAACATATTTCCATATTAATATATTTTGTAAGAATTTTTATTGTGCATTTTCTTGCTTTTGACGTCACAATTTGAGATAGTAGTTATGAATGAACAAGGGACATAATTATCAGCATAAATCTATTTTTTGTGTAATATATTTATGATAAGTTTTCAATTTTTTATGAATGAATTTTTTACATGATGAAATTTACTTATACATTAGTGTCAATTACGAAATAAGTAAAAACTAAATTTATAAAGATCCAAAATAATTTTTTTATGATTATCTAAAACAATTTTAAAATTGATCGCATTAATTTACATAGAAATGAAAAATGTTTTAATTAAACGTAAAATATAGTACGTTAGCTCTAATTATTTACGCTCTACGTAATAATATAGCCTGTGTTCCGGATCTTTTATGAACTTGGCTTGTAATAACGGTTTCTGTTTTTGTTCTTCATCTACTTTTTCTTCTTTGCCGTTACTTCGGGCTTTCCAGTTTTCGATACTATTCCATATACTCTTAGTTTTTTCATTGGCTCGATTTTGTTTGCGATTTGGTATAATATTCTGCATTAGGTTGTGTATTGGGTAAATCTGAAACCACAAACTTTCATGAATGAATCATAAATGAGTCATATTACGCGCATAATTGTATCAACATATATTCCTATAGTTAGTTTTAATTTAAGTCATTACATACTTAATTTATAGGAACATTATAATTGATAATATTACTTCATGCATAAAACATCTTTGATGAGAGATGCATACATTAAACATTTTCACATACATTATATGAACAACTTGATTTAACATTTGTATCTTAAATTTCAATTTCTAAAGGTTTAATTTACTTTATATTGTAGTGTTATTCCTGGTAGTTTATTCTCAATTTTAAAATTATTATATATGTAAAAAAAACGGTTTTGCTGAAAATTATTTAAAATTTAGTTAAATTCAGATATAAAACTAATTTTATTGAACTATCAAAATAATTATGTATGCTTAAATTAATTTTACTTTTCTTATATTATTAATCTAAATGATTCTTATAATATTTTTTGCGGTAATATCAAATTTATTTGCTAAATTTATGAGAAAAATTTATGAGTAACACACACTTAAAAATTCTTTACTTATCCTTTTCTCTAAGATATAAATAAATAATTCATTGAGAATATCTATTGAATTTAACATAATTTTCCATTTATTATAAAAAGTGTAAAAAATAAATTATTTTAATTAAGATAAAAATACTGTTCAACAAGTTGTTAGCAAAATAAGTTAAGTAAGTTTTTAAACGAAGATGTGTCATAAACGAAGATCGGTCATAAAACATTAAAGCTCGTAGAATAAATTCTGATCTCTTTTTTAGAATCAGCATATAAAATAAATAAAAATCAATCAAAATTACTTTATTACAAAATCATTAGCTACAGTATTATTTTCAGATTCGTATATCTACCTAAATTTTTAAATACTTCAGCAAAATCATTTTTTTCATCTATTATTTTGCCCGAAAGAACAAAGAAGGAGAGAAAGAAATTCATGCCTTAGTAATCGTAATTCTTTGAAATCCAAGACATTGAAGATATTGTGTTTCTCGAACCATATTCGGTCAGCTGAACTGTCCCGTGCTGCGGTGACAAACTTACTTCTGACGCTATCCCAAAGTCATCGTTGTCGTTCTCATCGTTAACAATCCCATTATAAGTCCCGAAATCATTTATCTTCTTAACTTCCTCCTTCTTCATTCCAAAACGTTTAAGAGCGTTACTTTTATTTTTTTCTTGAGACTTATCTAATATTAACGATTTTTTAGTTTTATCTTGATTAACAAACTTAACTTTATAATCTTCTTTCTTATCTTCCTGTTTTATTAATTTTCTTCTAGTATCCGAATCTTCATTATTACCATTCTGTTTATTATCATTCTTTTTGCGCTTCGATTTGATTCTGAATTTCACCGGCTTGTTTTGAGCGGACGTTACATTTGTCTTCATAGAATCGAATTTATTCTCTGTTTCTGGATAAGTGGTCTTCGTAATAATCTTTTCTTTTGAAATTCTCGATAGATGCTCGATCGTCCGTGTTTTTGGAGTCGAAGTTTCTACCTGAAAATTATCAGTTTTGATTGTTTCTGGCATAGCAATTGTTTTAACAGCTACCATCTTTTTAGAAAAATCCGATCTATTTGCCTTGTTTTTCTTTGAATATTTTCTTTGAATGGGTGTAAAAGCTGACTTTTTCGTGCCAAAATTGATACTTGCCGAAGGCGGAGCTGTCGTTGTTGTCGAAGCTACAGGTTTCCTGCGTCTTTTTTTGATGGACTTAGTAACTGACTCAGAAGATGCATTATCGAGAGAAATCGTAGAGTTGTTCTTCAATATTCTTCGTCGTCGTTTCTTATGTTGTCCAGTTGCAGAAAGAACTTCC